TTCTAAGCTAGTCTGTGCTAATCATCGTGCAGCTTGCTTCAGTCCTTCGACTACCAACTTTGTAACAACACAACAACAATGTTGTGCTGTGTCAAAAGAAACCTCATCGTGCCAAGGGTGAAATTTTTTTGAATGTATCATGGTGAGTCTTTAAAAAAATGGTCATCAAGAAATTTAAATATCAGTATTTGAAATGCAAATAGAACATAAAAATGCAATACCTCACACATATAACACATGATTGATGAATCTAGTTTCACAATATGTTATTGAAGCAAGAATAACATATTCACAATGCACAAATTGTCAGCTACGTTGACTCACAATATGTTGTTTAAAGCAATAATATTCAAAACTTAAAATCTGCAAACTTACCAGTATTATTTGACTTGATGAATTTCACACCAAGATAAACATCCAAAAAAACTAGACCCTCCCTTCCAAATTAATACCTCTCCAGTAATAACATATTCACAATGCAACAAGATTCATTACATAAAATATTCACAATGCAAAAATATTCATTAATCATAACATATTCACAATGCAGCAAGATTCATTAATAATAACAAATTCATCCATATATTCAGTGAAGACTTGTGTAGAAGTATAAAAAGACTAATTAATACCTCTCCAATAATAACATATTCACAATGCAACAAGATTCATTAGTCTCTCCTTAGTTGTATTGATAGCAAGATTCGTTAGGTCAAGAAATTGGAGTAGTAAACATTACAGTAAGAATAAAGGTTCCATTTTACTAACCCTTGACATATGTTGAATCCCCTGTTTCTTGACTGGAAGGATTTGTTCATCAGTTTGAACTTTTTGTGGGTTCACTACAAAATAATCAAGTTCTTCTTCGTCTAGAACAACTGGATTTGCAATAGTATTCTTGAACTTAGAGAAAGAATTCTTTATCATGATTCGTTCGCTCCTTTTCCGGACTGATTCATAGAGATATTGCACCATAGGATTATATAAAAACATTATACTAAATGCAATCAACCAAATTCTTACCTTGATTTCCTGCAATTACTATACCCGGATGAAGCTCGTTTGCCATCTGTTGTTCTACACAATCGAATTCCCTCAATGAATCTCGCTAACTGCATATCATGTAGAGTGATTATCGCATTCTTAATTTCATAGTATCACGACTTAGAATAGAATAAATTTCCCCATTCCAATTTTACCTTTAATTGCCCTCACTAAATCAGGCGCGTGAATTAGTTTTTCGATTTTATTACAATTTTGCCATCAAATGCATCTTGACCATAGATTAAAATTGAATGGATGAGATGAGGATTGTATTGGTTGTATGAATGTCAAATGTTGTATAATAACCTCTCTCTACATATACATACATATATATATATATATATATTACTACATGCATACATACATCCACCACATACATACACATGTAATCCGTCGATGATCTGTCAGGGCCAATGAAGGCCTAATTAGGTTCGTTAAAGCCCATCACAGTTGATTAAGAGTCAGTAAGCTCATGAAGGCCTAGTTAGGTTCGTCAAAGCCCATGAAGGCCCAATACAACCCATCAAGGACCAATACAATTCACCAAGAGTCGTTAAATCACAGTTGATTAAGAGTCATTGAAGCACATGAAGACCCAATTAGGTTTGTTAACAACTACTGAGCCCTATACGACAGCCTATAAAAGCCCAATTAGGTTCATTGACAACTACTGAGTCCTATACTACCCATAGCCCAATCAAGTTCATTAAGAACCACTGAAACCTATCAAGACCAATCAAGTTCATTAAGAGTCACTAGAGCCAATTAAGTTCTAAAAAGTTCATTACCACCCATTACGGGCCATGAAAGCCTAATTATGTTCGTTAACAACAATTAAGTCCTATACGACCGATAGGCCCAACAAGGTTGATTAAAAGTTACTGAAGCAAATGAAGGCCAAATATAGTCGATTAAGAACCACTAAAGCACATAAAGGCCCAATATAGTTAATTAAGAGTCAATACAGCTCATAAAGGCCTAATATAGTTCATTTAACCTTAGTATATATTAGAGATGGCCAAAAATCGGTCCCGGGCCGGGCCTTAACCGGTTATGGCCGGTCCTAATCGCGACAAAAACCATCCTTAACCGGTCCCTCTATAACCGGTCCCGGTCCCGATGAAAAACTCTATAACCGGTCAAGCTTGCTCATAACCGGTTAAGCCGGCCGGTCCCGGTTCCGGTCCCATAACCGGTTACGGCCGGTCCTTTGAATTTTTTTTAATTTTTTGGTAATTAATAAATTTATAATATGTTATTAATATCTTTAAAATATGTTATTTTTAATATGTTTTATTATAAATACGTTTTGTTATATATTATATATATACGTTTAATTTTATAAATACGTTTTGTTATATACGTTTAATTTTATAAATACGTTTTGTTATATACATTTAAGAATAYACTTTAAAAATACGGTTTACTCAAATACACTTTAAAAGTACGTTTTATTATGATTAAAGTGGCATTGTTTTACAAAATGCAATAAAATACATTTATTTATCAATCTTCATCGGTATCCCATGTCGGATTGACTTGAAGAGTTCCGGTCTCTTGAATTCTTCTAATAGCCTCTTGGTCTTCAAGGTCATCAATATCGAGTTCCTCATCATCGTCATATTGGGACAGGGAGTAAGTGCTCTCGGTATCGGTACTTGGTGGCGTGCTTAGTCCCATAGAGATTTCATTTTGTTCAAGATTTTCTTCCACCGTTTCAATCTCCGTCTCTAAAGATGTTGTGTGTTGAATCCTATCAACGCTATCCAAATAATCCTTCAAGCAAATGCAACACTCCACGGACTCCGGGCTTAGTCTTGTCCGACGTACCGAAATTATCCTACCACTAATAGAAAACGCAGACTCCGAAGCTACAGTACTAGCTTGGATTGTTAGAATATCACGTGCAATGCATGCCCAAAATCGGGAATTGAGGTTGTTTTTGTTTCAAAAAATCTAACAAATCAATTTTTTCAAAATCTTCAACATCATTTGCGGGACAAGCGGCCATAAAGTTAGTATGCACATACATATTTAGTTCACCCAAATCGTTATCGCATCGACTTTTTTTACTTGATTCATTTAAAACCTCGTTCATTAAATTAGTCATCAACTCTTTACGACTTTGTCGATGACCACTAGAAGAAGAACTAGAACCCGCAAAACCACGTTGGGAAGGTGTTTGTGATTGGTTTCCTCCTCCGTAAAAATGTTTGTAATGATCAAATAAATCTTGAAAATTGCGATTAAATAAACGTTTTTGTTCCGTTGAGTAAGAATTATCCGTAGCGGAATCCAAACAAAAAGCCACACATATTTGTGTAATTAAAATTTCAACACCAACAATATTTAAATACGGGTTTAAAGCCGCAGCACAAAGAAAAGGAAATGGGATACCCATAAAATATTTTAACAATTTTTTTTTCATGGAAGACATCAACCTTCCCCAATCCACAT